TATAAATTTCATAGATTTTCATATGTGTAACATAGACACTGCCACTTTAACGAACTGCAGCTTCGGAATGGTAATGGCAACCAATCCGCTTTAGCAAGGATATTTCGTGTCGTTTAATACGAACTACAATACAGAGTAGTTGAAGAGTGGACTTGCAAAGTCTTTTAAAGGTTTATCAAAAAGGTTAAAGAAACAAACTCTGAATTTGACCTGACGCGTAAGAGAAAAACCAAAAAAATCCTTGACTACTAGAGAGCAATTTTTTTCTTAAGATACAAGTTACGGAAAGGCCCCGCTCTTAGTTCGACACGCAAGTTGTGACTCTTGGTCTATTCTTGTTTCGACGCATTGCATTCTTTGCTTCTATTTGTGTCTAGTATATAAAGTTTCTTGCAAGTACCGCCAATTCTGCATTCTCAATTGTCAAGGATTGGACCATGAGGTCGACAATAGTTAATTTCAAGTTTGATTTAATCAGGTAGGATCCTAGACTGAAAATTCCATAAGGAAAAGACATGAATGTAACGTTTTCGATTAGGTCTATCGATAATATTGATAATTGTTGTCTGACTGTAAACGTGGCCGCGATTGTGGAGAGCAATAGTCGAGGAGATTTAGCACTGCCTAAAAAGACAAACCAATTGTTCTGGGAATAAAATCATAATAGACTAAAAGGTTCTGCACAATTATCCTACTTGTGATCGAGATGAAAAATGAAAACTCCTCAAAGACACCAAGGTGAAAAGGTTCTTTTAGTTGCTTTTGACTGAAAATTTTTCCTACTTGCTCTTTAAACCCAAAATTCTTGATTAACTCGTCTTCCAGGGAAACATAAAACCTGCTTTCGCCGGGATCTCCTTGTCGTCCACTTCGGCCCCTCAATTGATCAAATTGCGCAATCGAAGTTGATAAACGAAGACGAATCTAGACTTAACAATGTAGACATTACTACTCACCTCCGTTATTGGTAGAATTTGAAAGCTATTATCCCTTCCCTGAATGTTGTGAATCTTTATACTCGTTTGCATTACCCATTCAATGAATTCGTAGCTCATGTATTAATTGCCCACTTATCTAAAATCTTCCCCTTCAAATTGTCCGCTACCAATGGGATTAAATGGATATTTCAGGCGCTCACGCTCCGTAATCCTGGTTCGCAAACCAATTGAAGTATAGTACAAGAGATTCCTTCACCTGGAAGTCGGAAACTGATACCAAGAGGTTGCACGGTGCCTATGGCAATATAAGTAATTGTCAATTAAAGTCGAGAAAATCAATAGATTGTAAGCCAATTCTGCTTTATTAAGCTATTCCATAATAGAGTCCCATTGTAATATTGTATTCATCTTTTCAACGTGCGCAGTTCGGGGACTGTGTCGGCGAACACTCAATAACACGTTCAGTAATTAACGTAAACGAAATATTAAACGCGGAAGAGACTTTTCCGGTTTTCCTATTTATTTATAATAATACGTTATCTATAGGTCAAATAATTAAACAAATCATTATAAACTTGCTTACCACAGTTTGGGTATATTAACGTTAGTTCTATTATAATACTCTTCTTCACAATAAACTTATGATATTCTATATTCTATAATAGCTCTACATTTAGCACAAAGCCATTAGCTATCCTTACAAGTTAGGCCATGGTGCAAGCTGATTGTGTGAACCATTGTCCTTTGTATACCGCGCCTCAGTTTAGGCTACTGTTGGGATGCCCTGAGAAGCGCCTCCCTGGCTTCAGCGATATAAATTAAATGCTTTTCGACAATTTCAATGCCTTCAAAATCTACTTCTTGTACGAGCGATTCTGCAATGATATTGACCAAACAATCAAGAATGACTATTAAAAGAACGGGTAAAACACATGCAATCATATGTGCAATAATGACCACATACCCAATTCACCAATAGCTGATATGGCTATAGCATACGAAGGAGAATCGCTGTCTATCTCTCCACCGTTCAGACAATCAGCCAGGCTTTTTATCAATTGCAAAAACCTCATGATACTACGGAGATAGCTGAGAGCAGACTGAAGTCTTTCCAATTGAATTGTGTAGTTTCTAAGTTGCATGTACGGTGTATATATCTTTGATCGTAGTTCATTCGTTGACTCGTTTAGCGCTTCAATGCCATCGTGAACAGAAGACAATTTCGTCTCTAGCTCTTTTATTCCCAACGCGTGAGAGAGAAGAGTCTCAAAGTTCACAACTACCTAAATTGTAAATCGACATGATCGTTATGAGATCATACAGACACGCATGTGATGAGAGACAAAGTGCAAAATCTACCTGTTCGTGCAAGTATTTGTTGAGCTTGTCTATGCTGGAAGAGAGTTTCACCAGCGCATTGCTTATGTTGTTGTCTTCATCAGTAGTGTCGTTGATAGTCGAATCCGCGTATTCCTTTGGGTCAAAATCCTTTGACAGGAAGCGTTGGTAGTCTGTAAACTTTGAATTACAACCGTGAGTATTAATGAAAAAACATTTTGAGTGATCTCTCGGATGTACAGTTTTATTTAACGCGCTAACAGAACGGTAAAGCATTTACCTGTGTAAAGATCGAGCTCGGGAACACTGTGCTTTGACATTTTATTTTATAACGTCCGATTTTTCTGACAAAAAAAGATCTTTTTTAATCTTGCAAGTGCATTTTGATTGGCTGTGTCAACACTATATAATATACGATACGATACGATATATTACTTATTACTTATGGCCCCATTCGATGGACAGCACAAATACTCCTCAACCCACCAGGTATCCAATCTTGCCCAGACCACCTGAAAATATTTGCAGAGAGATTGTCAAAAGAGCTTTGGAGCAAGAAAGAGAAAACAACTGTTATGCAAGCAACAAATCGTCAAGAAAGAATGGAACTCGTACACGAAGGCATGCGGGAATCTACAAGAAAAATGGGCATGTCAAGACAGTAAACAACGCTAATAGAAAGACACAGGTAGTAGGTTGACTATTTACCGTAATGATAAAACGACCATACGCTATCGATGTAAATACTGATCTCGTTTAATAATACAAAAAGTCGCAATCTAAAGTGACCAACAGATCTAATGTGCGCAAAGAAGATAATACGAATTTGTTGAATGATTCAACCGACCCCCTGCCCACTCCTGACAGAATAAGAGAAAAGATAAAGCAGCTGAAAGAAGAAAAGGCACTATTACAAGAACTTTATAATCGGAAAAAGGAACAATTGAGGCAGGAAAAATGGGAGAGAAGGATGAACGAACTATGATCAGGAACGCCTTTTCACCTTGGGGACCTGTAATATGGTTTGAGTTTGAAATTTACGTTGGTCCTTGGACCATGGTTGAATCAGACGTGTTATATATGATCAGTAGCGAGATACGCCATACTTTTGTGAAATCGGTTTTACGATCAAGGGGGTCCCGCTTACAGAGATTATATCGCGGTTCGTTTGTTCTCACGCATGCCGTTTTCCTTTCAGTGTTGGATCAAGTATGACGGTTCTGGTGGTGAGTGGAGACACGAAAAACCAGATTCGAACCTTACTACTGGGCTGGGCTGGCAGACGTTGATTTATTCTTAGCATCAGAGGCAACGCAGAGACGGATGTTACGTGCGGAGCGAGTGTCCTATGAAAAAGGTGTTTTTGTCAATCAGTTGCATTGAGATGAATAAATGCGCTGTTTATTTATTTATTTATAACGGATTAGTAAACTGATTGGTTGAGGAGAATTGAAATTTGCATTTCGCGTTTTACGGTATTATTTTAAACATGCATAATTTGCTATTCACGGTCCACTCTATCCGAGACTATCAAAGGAAGCATGCTGGGTCGCCAGGGCAATAATGTTTTTCATTGTTGGACATCACGAACACGTGCGTGTACGTTTACCCTGTAAAATAATCCCCTTGTCTGAATCGCTCACTAGTTGGCTTGCTGCATTCATACCAACGTTGCCAAAAGTATTGGACGCTATAACTGAGAATTTTATATGTTACGCTCTGGTTGTTGAGAAATGCGCTATATTTGGCCGCTAGGCAATTGTATGACTTTAGCGACCGCAAGATTAACAAAACGCGTTTGCTTGCACGGTGCCCCTATGTTTATTTTGTGTCTACGAAACGAGGAAGAGGCGCAGAAATGTAGTAAATATAACTCGTTTATTAAACGCTGTTTAATATAATTGTTGATCGATTGGCAAAATACGCGGGTGGATCAAAATATCTGCCTCTTGGCTAATCAACACATGCTTAGATGGACAATGGGGTGCAGCATTACATTACAAATAGTTTATCACCTGCATATTATGGATATTTTCAACTATCTGAAAGCTGTTCTTTCAGATCGATCCAAACAGTCTTTTCCATAATATACTGTCCAAATTGCGCAATACAAGGTACAATCGCTCGAACATCAATCTATTCATCACGTCACAGAGGCATGCTTGACGTGATACACGCAGATAACAGTTAATTTGTCGTTACACTAGTAATAGTCGTTCATTCAACGCCTAAAAGGTAAATGTCTTTTGAAACGCTAAAGGTTCGTGTATTTCTTTCGCAAATGTCAATGACATCATCACACACGCCACTATGAAACGTTGTCGACTACTATACGTTCTTGACGACGATTAGTTCGGCCTTTCCCCATCCTCCATCCCATCACCCCTTTTCCCCCAACTATCAACATCAAGGGTGAGGTTTGCTTTTTCATCTTGGGGCAACAAAGTTTTGCACATATATCCGGACATGACCTCATTGTACCGCACACCCATGTGAAAATAACCCATCAAAGTTATAAAGTTATTGTACTCTACATATCTATTGTAGTACGTATTACTTTGTCGAGCATCTTTTAAAAAAAAGTATACAATAATTATTTTTTTTTTTTGAGTATCAAATGTTATATCGCTTCAACACTCAATGAATTGGATGTCTTTATTTCAAATACTTTTTGCATTCATTTTTTTTAGAGGCACTAAATTTTGTGTGCCAACAAACATTCCTTAAAAATCGTCATCTCGTTACCCAATATTAAATCTAGTATATATGCATGTATGTATAATAAATGGTAAGAAAAATAATTTTATAAATAATATTTATAACGAAATGTCTAGTTATCATAAGTGTTGTACGATTATTACTTTTAATAAATTAATGTGTTGCTTGAATAAATTAATTGCTTTTCTCTTTTGCTACAAAAACAGAAAGTAAAAAGGCCAGGGCAAAATTAGTCAAGAGTCCTTTCAACACTGCAAAACCGTGATCAGCATTAAACCGTATTTTCGTACCTGTCCCAAATAGAACCTGTTCCATATGCTTAGGAAAATCGTCCAAAATGGACCAATAACTAGCTTTTCGAGTTTCAGTCCCCCCGAGTAGCCCACGGTCGGTTGTTTCAAGTGTCGTACCTTTATGTATACAGAAATTTACTTAGCAACAATATTCCGCAATTAAAGATATTAAAATCTATCAACTTACTTCGATGAAGAGTGTGGGTCCTGCGCGCAAAAGACTCGCCATTGGCTGAACGCGGTTTTGCTCGATCCTCGGGTTTATGTGTAGTCGAGTGTGGATCTTTATTTGATGCTGTAAGAAAACGTACACTGTTAATAACGTGCGATCGAGTGTAATGGAAAAAAAAACGACAACCGTTCTTTCGTTCGTTCCCCTCTTTCCCTACCATACCCTCCTCTCTTCCCCTCTTCCCCTCTCCTCTCCCCTTTTCGCTCTCTCTTTTTCCCCAGTCTACTTACTTTGCTTACGAAGCATGGTGCGTATCTCACCAGTTGTTGGATCGAACAAAGATACAGTCTCTGAATTTCTCGGCACGGGTAGATTAGGAAAGTGTAATAATCTACTTGTATAGAATGCTTGTGGATGCACTTGTTTCGGTGAACCGATCGCAGACTTGACTGGAGTGCCGGTCCTGACCCTCCTTCCTCTTTTAGGACCCATGAATGGTTGCTTTCCGTCAGGTAAAAATCGCCATTTGAAAGATACCGAGAGCAACTCGGCGGCAGTTGGTCGTCGTTCGGGATCGCAGTCCCAGCATCGTAGCATAGCAGCCACGTATCCCGTGGGCGTGCCAGCGATAATTGGCGGACGGAGACCATTGCATATGTCGCGCGCTAGGCTGTAGTCGTGTGCGCGGTCCGCAAACGGTGGTTGATTGGATGATAGTTCCCACATAATCATTCCTAAGCTGTAAATGTCTGCTGCCGTTGTGTATTTTTCTCTGCGGAGTACCTCGGGAGCGACATAAGGGAGGACGCCATATTGTGTATCTCCTGCATCATTCACCGGTCGACACATGCCTAAATCTGTTACGTAAACGAGTTTTTCGTGCCGAAGGATATTACCACTAAAATAAAATTAAGAACATGTTATTTTAGTGACGAGCAGAGAATGTGCAACGATTAATGACAATTATGGTTGTTCGCTTACCAATGAAAATCTCGATGAACCAATCCTGCGTCATGGATTTCCTGTAATCCTTTTACTATTTTATCAAATAACGCTATCTTCTGGTCCCATGACAAGTCGGCAAAATACTCAGATAGATATCTTCGTAAATCTCCGTGGTCGGCATATCTCATGACCATCACGTACTTGTTTGTTTCTGGGTCTCGAGTAACACCATAACAATCGATAATTTTTGATCCCAGACTGCAACGATGATGCGCTCTCAACTAGAACAAGGAAATGAAATAATTCAATCAATATGTTTTTACACTTTGCACAGTACACCACACACGCATCACACACAACACACAACACATCACACACAACACAACACAACCAACACGCATCACAACCAACACAGCACACACCACAGCACAGCACAACACAACACGCATCACACACACATCCGTCACAAAGCTTACCTCATCCAAAAATTCGCTTGTCAAATGCTCTGAATTATCTAAAAACTTTAATGCGACCATTTCCCACTCTTTCGACTTTGCCGAATATACCGAACCGAATCCACCCTCTGCTATAAACTTGAGGTCCGTAAATTTATCGAATGGTATCCATTGCATATAATCGAACGGTGTGTTGGCGTTCAACTGAGTCTCTCTGATAAAGGCGTCCAATTCCTCGTTCCCGCTCGTCCATTTATCAAAGTTCTCACGAAGCGCTCGAGTGTCGCACGGTTTGCACCATCCAACAGTTGTTTGTGGTCGATTGCAATTCGGACAGCGACCACGTTTGTCTCCTGACAGAATAAGAGAAAAGATAAAGCAGCTGAAAGAAGAAAAGGCACTATTACAAGAACTTTATAATCGGAAA